AGGGCCGCACCGCCCGGGGGCGGTGCCGGCGGCTCTCCCACGCCCGCGTGCTCTCGCGGATGCCCTTCTTGCGGCCAGGAGCGCCAGTGGTATCCTAGGCTGCATCCAGTACAGCCTGTGGCCAGCAGGTCCTGCCCCTCCTGAGGCCACATATGGAGTGCGGTGTCCAGTTCTGGGCTCCTTAGTACAAGAGAGACACGGAGCCGTTGGACAGTACCTAGTGGAGGAAAACAGATTATTAAGGGACTGGAGCATCTCTCTTATGAATAAAGGCTGTGGGAGCTGGGCCTATTTAATCTAGAATAGAGAAAAGTGAGAGGGGATCTCACTAGTGCATATAAATATCTCAAAGCCAGGTGCCAAAGAGGATGGTGCCCAGCAACAGGACAAGGTACGGTGGTCATGAACTAAAACAAAAGAAGTTCTATTCCAACATGAGGAAGAATTTCTTTACAGTGAGTGTCAGAGGACTGGAACAGGTTGCCCAGGGATGTTGTGGAGTCCCTCTCTCTGGAGACAGTCAAAATCTACTAGAACATGGGATGTATTGCCGAGTGATCTGCACTAGGTGACCCTGCCTTGGCAAGGGGTTGACCTCCAGAGGTCCCTTCAAACCCTGACAATTCCATGATTCTGTGATCTCCCTATGAAGGCCTATCCCAGCAGCTGCAGGCAGCCTGTCCGTGTGTCTGGCAGTGGCTGATGGCAGCAGGACCAGTGCAGAGGGGGACATGCCTGGCCGTGATGGCCCCACAGTCTGTGTCCTCTGCTGGCATCACATTCAGGCTCTGTCCCACTGCATGGAATCATACAGCAGTTTGGGTCAGAAGGGACCTTAAAGATCATCTCATCTCAACTCCCTCCTGTGGGCAGGGACACCTCCCACTAAACCAGGTTGCTCAGAGCCCCACCGAACCTGCACATGGCTATATCATATTGCGCTTCTTATCAACTAAGACCCTAAGTCCTCCTCAGGACAACTCTCAATTTATTCTCTCATCCTTCAGTGCATTTTAGGGATTGGAATAGGTTGCCCAGGGAGATGATGGAGTCACCATCCTTAGAGGTGTTTAGGAGGTGTCTGGATGTGGTCTAGGGAGATAATTTAGTGATTTAGGGGTTGCAGTGATAGTGCTTGGATGATGGACTAGGTAATTTTAAAGGTCTCTT